TATCACAGCTGACGTTCAACTGAAACTTAATGCTGCACTGCAAGCTTTGATGGCTCTTCAAGCAGGAGGCAGTATCGGAGTAGACCTTCAGGCTAAGATTGAAGCCGCCATAAGAGCTCTCTGCGCTTTACAAGGAAGCATTGGTGGAACTGTTGGAGTTAATATTCAGGTTGCTCTTGCTGCTCTCATTCAAGCTCTAGCTTCATTCCAAACTAGTGCCTTTGGCAGCCTAGGAGGAAGTCTTCAGATTTTGATTAACACTACCTTGAGCGCTATAACTCGTATCATTGGTAGTATTGGAATTGGAGGCGGTGGTACCGTCATAATCGGCGGTGGCGGAAGTATCTCAGTGGATTTGAAAGCCAAGATTGACATTCTAATCAAGGCTATAACTGCATTCCAAACTACGGCTGCTGGATGTATCACAGCGGACGTTCAACTAAAGCTTAATGCTGCACTCCAAGCTTTGATTTCTCTTCAAGCAGGAGGCAGTATTGGAGTAGATCTTCAGGCTAAGATTGAAGCCGCCATAAGAGCTCTCTGCGCTTTACAGGGAAGCATCGGTGGTACTGTTGGAGCAAGTGTCCAGGTTGCTCTTGCCGCTCTCATTCAAGCTCTAGCTTCATTCCAAATAAGTGCCTTTGGCAGCCTAGGAGCAAGTCTCCAGATTTTGATTAGCACTACCTTGAGCGCTATAACTAATATCATCGCTGGAATTGGTGGAACAATTGGAATCGGTGGCGGTATTGGTGGCGGCATTGGTGGCGGCATTGGCGGTGGACTCGGACTTGGTGCCGGACTCGGACTTGGTGCCGGACTCGGACTTGGTGCCGGACTCGGTGGCGGACTTGGTGGCGGACTCGGACTTGGTGCAGGACTTGGTGCCGGACTCGGACTTGGTGCCGGACTCGGTGGCGGACTTGGTGGCGGACTCGGACTTGGTACTGGACTTGGTGCCGGACTTGGACTCGGAGCTAATCTGGGACTTGGAGCCAATTTGGGACTAGGAGCCGGAGTTGGAGCCGGAGTCGGAGCTGGAGTTGGAGCTGGAGTTGGTGCTGGAGTCGGAGCTGGAGTCGGAGCTGGAGTCGGAGCTGGAGTCGGAGCTGGAGTCGGAGCTGGAGTCGGAGCTGGAGTCGGAGCTG